GGAGAATACGTCCTCTTCTCACGCAGAAGGCAGCGCAGGTACTGATTCAGGCTCTTGTCATCTCCCGCCTGGACTCCTGCAACTCGCTCCTGGCAGGTCTCCCTGTTACCGCCATTCGACCTTTGCAGCTCAAGACACCAGGACCGCAGAGAGCCTTCACATCTTCCGCCGCAAACTAAAGACACACCTCTTCAGACTCTTCCTCGACTAAAAGACTAACAAATTTTAGCACTTAAATTGTACTTATAACGTCACTCATCTATAGCAAATTGTAAATTTGCTTATTTGAGGAAATTGCACTTTCTTGTTTCTTGTTCTTCTGAGTTTGTATATGGTTGAATGCACTTATTGTAAGTCGCTTTGGATAAAAGCGTCAGCTAAATGACTACCCCTCCTGGACTTATTGTGACAGAAGGAACCGACCACGGTGGACTCGGGGCCGACTCCTTTTCTGGAGTACGGATCGGCCGTGCTACGAGAGTCGAGTTCTGGCAGTCAAAGACAGACTTGAGGAGTTACCGAAAAACAAAGTTGCAAGTCATTTTTGGTGAGTCTTTGGGTTGTCATATAGTCCCGGTCCCTGTTTGCGCACAAGGCATTTTGTTATTTTGACTTGGAAGTGTGTGCCCTCCAAGTCCTCCATCTTTCATGTTCCTGGACTTAATGTGATAGTTTTGCAGTAAACCATAGTGCTTATTTCAAAAATATTCTACATTTTGTCTCTTTTTATAGCTTACATGTCATATCATTGACATGCACAGTGCTTGCATGTTTTGTAGAACAGAAGAGGTGCATTGGACACCTGTATAAAAGATTAGCAGCACTGGTGTAAACAGGTACCAGGAGGAAGGTTCTGTTAAAAATGATCACTTGGCAATATTTTTGCATTTTAACCATGCAAAAATGAAAGGTTGTTAATATCAACGTCAGTATAACCCTATTGCTTCAAAAGAAAGAATTCACGTGTCAATCAGAGCCACGAGTTACTAGCAGAGCCCTTCCTTGGTGAGCCTTCTGTCTCTGACAAAAAGTCAATATCAATATAACCTCTGTTCTTTTTTTTATCTACAAACACAACTGACTGCACTTTCAATTGTCCCTTTTACCAACTTGTTCCCATTGTGCGTTGATTAACCAGTAAGTGCCTTATGGCATCACAGCAGTGAGCGAGAGCGGATGAGACCCATGTCGTTTGGTGTGTTTTGGAGTTGGTATTTAAAGAGAGAACGCTGATACTTTACAGGTCAGTCACATTAATTACCATGTTTGCCTTGCAGCAAACCAGCTGCAGGATTTCTTCCCCCTCGAGAGTATCTGGAACTTTGAGCCCCCCCAAGGAGATGGGGAGGGGGGGGTACAGTGGAAACCAGAGACAAAGGCTCCATCAGTGGAAAGGGCCCGTAGAGCTTTGGCTTTGGGTCCTCACACTAACACACACACCTCTGCTTTCAGAGAGGCAGCGGCCATTATTTGCATGACGCGTACTAAAAGAGACATTCGGCCAAATGAGCATTGCTGCTGCTCTTCTGGTGAGGACTACCTTTCCTACACAGTTCCTTTCATAAAAAAAACACAATGCTCAACATCTGCTTAGCTGCTTATACGCTCTAGAGGTTTTTAGACTCCATGAGCGTCAGTTAAACGGCACAATGAGTTCCACTTCCCAGATCACCAAAAAAAAAAAGAGTTCTTCCTTCTAAACAAACAAGCCCTGCACAAAGACAGGATACCTCCACCGCTGTGAGTCAATACAGCTTCTCTCCAGAGCCATTCCATCTGAAACCGGTGGTTATTTGTCCTGTTGCTGTACATGATGTCACTGAGGCTCCGCTCCGTAAACACAACTGTCCCGGATTTGATGAACAGCTGAGTTTTGTGTATAAAAGGCCCGGCGTGCTGTTGATCAGGACCTGTGCGCCACGTTTTCACTCATCCGTCCGTGGCATTTAGAGGCCAGGTCTCCCAGTGCGCGGGCTCCGCTGTGATCAGCCGGGGAATGAGCTTAATCGTTTCTAATGAGTCCGGAGTCCAACCTGGCAACCAAGGAGACAGACTTAACCGGTCGACGCAGTCCAGTAGATCCTTATTGTGTATCTTCACTGTGCGAAAGAACGCACAAATCTATTTTCTCAAGTTCCACTCTGATTTTTATTAATGATGTGTCAATCAAGTAATCCCAGTCAGCGTGAGCGTTGCTCACGAGCCCCCTTTTTCTTTACTTCAGTGAGGAGTTGATTCAATGGAAAAGGACTCTGTGTGGTTCACAGCAAAAAATACGGGCTGATCGGCGTTGGTGGAACAGACCTGTCCATCCTTGATCCCTACTTGCCCCCCAAATATGAGATCAGGGCACAATGTTACGTTGTAGTCAACCAATCTGTGTTCAAACCAACCGGACAGCTGGGAACCGCAGCTTGAATTTGCAAAGGGATAAATGACGGTGTTGGTCTTAATCTACAGTTTGTGTACATTCGCGTTGTAGGAGCATCCATTAGCCATGTAAATGGTGCCAGTCTGTCAGCAGCAGCGTGCTGTGGGTGTCATTGGCAAGGCCCTTGGTGTTTGAGGTCGGGCTGCTGTTATCGGTGAACAGAGTGGGGCGTCATTACAGTGTGTGCGTCCGGTCTCCTACCGATAGTGCACATCCTTACAGACTCTTCCAGACACACAAGAGCTGAATGTACGTTGTCTGTACGGAGGCGAGGGATTACATCACCTAAAAGGGATGGAAGCCAGTTGAGCATAGTATTCTATTAAACATCCCTCATAGCTAACAGACTGTATCCTGCATTCAACACTCACATCCACATTAGGAGGAGGCAGATTTCTTTTTTCCACTCCCAAATCGGTACACAAAGTGAGATTAATGCTGCCGGCTGTTTTCACTTGTGTCGAGCTTCCTCTACCAAACAAAATGATGAAGTCTGTTTGCTATCCGTGAAAGTCTGCAAGAGCTCAAGTGTGAAGCAACCTAATAGGCTTTGCACTACATGTTTTATGACTTTCAGACAAGAGGAACATCTATGATGCAATTTGGGATTTTTGGACAGAAAATTAGTAATAAATAAATCATTGAATTAATAAATGAATGGATTCACCAAACAGTGTCGGATAACTTTTCATTCCTCAAATTTAAGTTTGGAAATGTTTTGGTTGATAATTTATTGGGTATGGAATTAGGAGGAAACAGGAATATTTTCATTCATATATTCAAACGTACCATTTCAGAAAATGTCTTCCACCCCAAAGATATTTCTTGAACGTTGGAAAGGTCTCCTAGTGAATCTTTTTTCTCATACTCTCTACTGCCGTAGCACTTGGATTCACTACACGTCTTCATCTTTATCTGAAGGTTTGCACAGAGGGAGCTTCATGTATTATTCATGAACGGATATATAGGACATATTCATTTTGAATGGCTTTTTTTTATTCGCATGGCTTGTCTGTCCTTAACCTGCAGATGCTAGATTTCCCCTTTTTAATGAGCTGCACACGTCTACTAAAAGAAGAGTTCTGTCTTGTTTTAGTCCCAGAATCTAGTCACTCACAAGAAGAAGAAAAAACAACTTATTGCAATCATTTTTTTCTTACTTGTCTGATTAATAAACCCTTTATTCATCCCGCTGTCCCACGCGTGACTCATCCTGGTCGCCAGAAGACACAGACTGCCGATACTGAACCAAGTGGTGCCAACAGGCCGGAGAACAGCCTTGGCTGGACAGATGCTCCCCCTGCTCATGTTGTTACTGTCGGAGGTCTGTGGGGGCCGTTAGCCCGGCTGAGCCTGACAACAAAGGCCGGTTTTATCCCACTGCTGGAATGCCAACGTGTCTAATTCCTCTCTGGCGGATCTATTAGGAAAGAGCTCCGGCGCCCTCCGTCAGTCCGGCGCGCACAGATCGATCCCATGTATGGGAGCTCCACGTCGCTGATGGTGATCCGGGCCTGGGAGGCAGCGTGAAATGGAACCTGTGGAGGCACGTCAGAAATGTTCATTCTGGTTGACCAGGCATAAATAACAGTGTCAGAAGAATTAGAGTTAGTTCCTGTGCTTTGCCGTTAACTCGCATGGAAGGCAGGGTTTTGGTAGAGGGCCTGTGTTTTCTCTATTGTATAAGTATGCGTTCAAACTATCGGTCCAACGGCACACAGGTCGGGGGAAGCAACTTGGAAGCACTTTGGAAAGCTTGGTTCTTTTGTTCTCCCACTTATTTCCCATAAATATTTAATTGTGCTTCACTTTTCCTCTTACTACTGTGAATTCCGGGCTTGCAATTTTCTTTTTCTCTGGCACTATAGGGTCCGCGGTGACATCACCGACCCGAGGGAAGCCAATTTTCCTATTTTCTGTGACACTGAGCCAGGAAAAGCCTCTTTCCACATCTCCCCCTCTGCTTCAAAGTCTCTCTCCTCGCAATTACATCTGAGCTTTTAACGCAGCCGATAAGCAGGGAGAGGGTCGGAGCTGCACGGGGGCTGCGGCAGCTTGGTGGGGGCATCACAGGACTGTGAGCTTGTGCTGCTGTTCAGTGGCCACGGAGGGTAAACTGATGGGACTGTGTTATATTACCTTTTAGCTGGCGCTTTTATCCGAAGCAACAACAATGCATTCAACCAACAGGCCACAATAATCAAGAAAATACAAAGTGTTGTAAGAGACATTTTAATTGCTATTTATGTACCAAGATGACTCCATTTTAAGCTTTTTGTGACAAAGTTTATTGGCTTTTCCTGAAATATATGGTGTGAGTAATGCAGCGAAATAAGGTTTATCCAGTAGAACCAAATGATGAGAGTGAGAAATGGGACACGTAACATTTTTGTCAGCTTTTGCCACGTAAATAAAGGGATCCTCCAATACAGAGTTTTACATTACTCTGTATTGGTACTGAAAGAAAAGCTGTTCTCAAACGGTTCATACAAACTCGTCGGAAGGCGCTTGGGATGGAAGCCACTGGATTTGTAACCCCATTGAAATGGGCTTTTTATTTGTCCCGCAGGCCTCCAGGACGACCCGCTCCGATGAAGACAGGGACATCGGGTGGGACGCCTGGGGCTCCTGGAGTGAGTGCTCACGCACCTGCGGCGGAGGAGCCTCCTACTCTCTACGGCGCTGTCTCAACGGAGGGTAAGTCCCATTTCACATCTAAGGGGAAAGAAACAAAGCAAACGGATCCAGTATGTGATCCCTGTACAAAGCTGCTGGGCTCCATAAAACTATTACGGTCTGCTCAACCGAGACGGTGCATTCTCAGGAGGATGCACACTTAGATGTTGGTGACCATGAATATATTGTGTAAGGACATCAGGGGTAACGTTGTAGACCTGCACAAGGCTGTGATGCGCTACAGGACAACAGGCCACCAGCTTGGTGAGGAGGCAACAACTGTTGCAATTATTAGAAAAAGGGATTAGAAGTTCAAGATGACGGTCAGTCTCCCTCGGTCTGGGGCTCCGTGCAAGATCTCACCTCGTGGGGCAGCAATGATCATGAGGAAGGTGAGGGATCAGCCCAGAACTACACGGCGGGACCTGGTCAGAAAGCCCTTCGTAACACACTACGCCGTCATGGATTAACCTCCTGCAGCACTGGCTTTTATGATGTATCAAGTATCATTTGCTGGATTTTTGTTTTAGATTCCGTCACTCATGATTGAAGAACAAGAGTATCCATGATAAAAAAATTTGACCCCTACATGCTTTGTGAGTGGGAAAACCTGCAAAATCGGCAGTGTATCAAATACTCCCCACTGTAGTTCTACATTGACCTTAATTCAATGTTTGATTTGATGATTTACAGGGGAAGAGGAAGTTGTGTCCTTCATGTCCGACCCTTTTCTAAAAGCTCAGTTTCTCCCCCTGAAGCTCTTGGTCCACAGTGAACAAGAGGCCCAAACGCTTTGGCACCTCTGGGTAAAACTCTCCCGTCTGGCTGCAATGTCCTTTGGGTTGGGCTGTTGGTTCATCGAGCCCCTGCGAGTGCTGATGGAAATGTGTCCGCTTTCATGTTGAGATGAACGCAAGAGCGGCTTCTTGTTCTTAGACGGTTGGCGAAAGACGGACGTGGTGTTTATAATTTGGAACTTAGAAATGCAAGACAGTCCTTCCCTGACATCATGACGAAAAACAACAGTACAAATTGTAACCACATCCCTCTTGTCAGAGCCCTAAAAACTGCTGTTGTTCAAGCACTCGTAAAGAATTTAGATATCAAACCTGCCGTTTTAAAATAATTAACCTTTTTTCAACAGCTAAACTATTTCTTGGCGGTTAATAACGGTTTTGATGCCTTCCAGTCAGGCCTTTGTTAGCGCCACAGTACTGAAACTGCAAAAACTGTATCAAGTCAATCAGAACGCAGCAGCTGATCCTCACTAGGAAAGTGGATCACATCACTCAGTTCTCCGGTCTTAACACCAAGAAGCGACTTCAAAATCCCGCTGTTGGTTGAATGGTGTAGGGTACATGTAGTACATTTCTAATGCTGCTACCTCATAAACCTCCAGCAACCCTCGTCGGCGTCAGAACCAAACATGCAGGAGCAGCACTCTGCTCCACACATCTGGAACAAAGTCCCAGAAAGCTGCAGATCTGTTGAGTCCCTCAGCTCCTTTAAATCCAGATTAAAAGCTTGTGATTGCTGCTGCCCTCGCGGAATGTTGGTGCTCTCTACCTACACTGCAGATTTCCTTTTTTTACATTTATCGACTGGTTTTTTTTTTGTGTGTTTCAATCAATTTTATTAAGTGTTTTTAAATCTTCTTGCTTTATCTTTGGATGTTTTTAATAGTTTTATGTGAAGCTCTTTGAATTGCCTTGCAGATGAAATGTGCTATACAAGTGAAATGTCCTCGCCTTGCTGTACATTATGCAGCTAATTTGGAACAACATTGGCATTCAATGTCAAACCGCTTATCCATCATGCGGGGTCACGGGGGGGCTGGACGAGAGACAGGGTTCACCCTGGACTGGTCGCCAGCCAATCGCAGGGCTACACAGAGACACACAACCATTCACACTCACATTCACACACCTACGGGCAATTTAGAGTCACCAATCAACCTGATCCCCAGAGGACGTCTTTGGACTGTGGACTCCACACACTGGGCGGAGTGGAACCCAAGACCTTCTTGCTGGGAGGCGACAGTGCTAACCACCACGCCACCGTGCCGCCCAATAAGCAGTAAATCCTGCTGAAAAGCCTGATTTAATATACACACGGTTTATCCAATTTCTTTTTCACAACGCATTTAGTAGTTTGTGAAGTTGAATGTTAGAAATATGACCATCTTTTTAAAAAAAATCCCAAGATGACCTCCTCAAACGTCGTCTTTTGTCCCCAACTGAAACGCATTAAGCTTCCTGTCATAGAGCGAAGGGAAGAGACCCCGAAGCGCTCAGACAGCAGCGGCGCGGCCTGCGGGAGTCCGTGTCTTATAAGGACGTAATGAGTGGATCTGGTCTGTGTCGAGGCTAAAGGAGTGATAACATCTGACGTGTTGCTTTGGACTACTGCACTCTTGGTTATTATTAAAATAAATACAACTCGACTCATCCCTCAACAGAATCGACCTTGTTTGCCGTTTAATATTCACGTTTTTGTGGAAGCATTCACTTATTTACTGACATAACTTACACAATAAAAGTAAATATATGAACAGAAACTCTATCATTATATCTTCATGAAGTTTTGGGGGTTTTTTTTGTCGCAAGCCTATATTCTAATAACATTTCAAAAGACGGCCTCAAGCGGTTCTGTAATCTATTTGTCGTATATCTCTTTCTGTTGCGGTTCCCCTGGATCTCTGGCTTGCAGGCTCATGATTATGCAACACTGTGGTCCCTCTAATGAATATGAAAATAAAGCTATACCGTCTTCAGTGTCGAAACTAACATTGAGATTCATATTTTTCAGTTTCATCTTTGCACGACCACTTTTTGTGATCAGTGAATACGATTATATTATAAAATGTACCTTCAGCAAAAATTATGTGGATTATTTTTTGAAAATCTGGTTTCTAAATGATTTATGAACTTCTCTCGTCGAAGTCTTTCCTGTTAAATATTAAAGCTGGAAGTTAGAAAACAAGATACATCTTAAATGTCAGTGTCGTGTTGCCCTCAGCCGTGTACTAAGCCGTAATGGGCCCATGACTAGAATACATCTGCACTCCCCTAAAAAGCTCCATGGGTGAGCAATAGGCCCGCTCCACTCTGCAAAACAGGGTTATTTATTGGAGTGCTTGATTGGGTCATATGTGTAAAGACCACGTGAAAAAAGCTCCTTGTAGTTCTGTTCTCCCCTGCGAGGCAAAAGGTGCCTTTTAATAAAGCTTTTAGAATCTCGCTCAAGAGAAATGTATTCTTGATTTAAAAAAAAAAAAAAAGAAGTGAGAAACAGAAAGCTTGTTTCTTTCAGAAGCACATTAACGGATATTTAATACTTCTGGAACATGATTCGGTCGGCCGGTACGATATTAGTGAGTCGTGCCAGCGTATTATTGAAGAAACACACACGTTGTGCCCATGTATTCCTTTTTACATGATGCTGTGGGACACGTGCTCTGTCCCGAACTACACGCCTGTGCATACCAGCGTTGTGAGTGGAGCAGCAGCACACATTCCCAGACACACAAACACCAGTGTGTTCATTTAACTCCCGAGGCGGCTGAAAGGTTGCGGCGTCGCCTGGAACGCGCTGCGTTTCCCCCGCGGATAAATGAGCTGCTAACAGTTTATCTGAATGTTATTGTGAGGCGGCAGGAGAAGTGTGCACTTTACTGCTGGTCAGCACACACACACACACACACACACAGATCGGCTGTTATTGTTGCTAATGAGGTGGAACAGATTTAACAGCATGTGGCGGCGGTCATGGGGGGGGGAAGGAACCTCCTGTGTGTGTGTGTGTGTGTGTGTGTGTGTGCGCATATCTCTGGGTTCAGTTGCTTGACATGTTGAGCTCTTCCAGCTGGATTATTAAAATGTTTTATTCTCGTTGAAGCCTGTGATGAGGCAGCCTTGTTTCACATCACACCGTTTCTTTGACCTTCCTCTGCAGAAGCTGCGGCGGCAAAAACATCCGCTACAGAACGTGCAGCAACCGGGTAAGTCTGAGCGATGTTCGTTTTAAACGTTTCAAAATAACAAGTACATCTGGGTTTAGGGTTTAGTTGTGCACATAGACGTCATTTGGAGGGACGCCGTCCCAATAGAAGTTGAAGTGACCGCAGGCCAGAAGTTCCAGGGCTCCTGGTGGTTCCGTCTGTGGTCGTCAGCTGACGTGATTAAAGAGCCCACAGAGGGACGAGCAGGCCTCCACCGAACTGTCCATCAAATATCTGCTCAAAGTAGTAATATTAGTACTGTATAACGTGCACATTGCACCAGGAACTGCTGCTGAGTCTCCTTCACTCAACCTGCCAGCTGCTGTCACACACACACACACACACACACTGACGCACCGCACCTGCTGCTCGGAACACAAAGAAGTTTGGATATTTTTTCTTCATTTAGATGATACAAAAATATAAAAAGCACCAGTGAAAAGTTAGGAAACAGTTAGAAACAGACAAACGGTGGACTGGTGCTGTACAGTGGAAGGTCAATGTGGACATTAGGCAGGACTGTAAAACGAATAACACAGTGTTGTGGCAGTTGGATTTTCTTTAGACATATAGTGACAACTCTTTGCTGTGTGGCTGATGACATCAGCGTTTAGTAATTGGAATCTCTAAATGAATGCTCATCAACTTTATGGCAACCTCCATTATTTAAGGTAGGGACCAGTAACTGACTTCCATTTCCTTCAGTAAAACATTTGATATGTATGTATCTCTGGATTGGATCAAACTGAAATATAAATGTTATAGGACACGCATGTCATGTGAAATGGAATAAGAGAAACAACCGTGAATAGAGAAAACAAAAGTAAAGATTAAAATCCTTTTGAATAATCCTTGTGTGTGTGTGTTAACAGCCATTTTATACAGTTTAAAGACCTTCTTTAAATTCCAATTTACTAAAGTAAGACTGAACTGTGGTGCTTGTTGTTGTTGTTGTTGTCGTCGTCCTCAGGCTTGCCCAGCAGAGTCCGGTGACTTCCGGGCCCAGCAGTGTTCGGCCCACAATGACATCAAGTACCAGGGCGTGACCTACGACTGGTCCCCGTCCCCTTACGACCCCTCGGCGCCCTGCGCGCTGCGCTGCCAGGCCAAGGGGAGGAGTGTCTCTGTGGAACTGGCTCCCAAGGTGCTGGACGGGACGCGGTGCCGGGCGGACGCCTTTGACATGTGCATCAGTGGAGTGTGTCAGGTAACCTGTTGTTGCACCTTTTTAAAAAGTTCATGAAGCGCGAGCAAGGCAACAATAACAGAAATAACAGAGTGAGCCCTTCTAAAGCATGAAGAGTGAAACCAGTAGATGAAACAGTACGTCCAATCAATGCAGTGAACGGAGATACAAATAAAATGTTAAAGCAAATCATTTGGTAAACTAAATTAGGAAAACCAACAAATAATAATCAAGCAGCAAAGCGACGACATCCCACAAAACTGTGAACAAAGACCATTGACAGCTCATTTTAAAGCACACACACTAACTAGTGCATTTTTTTTTTAGATAACAAAATAATGTAGTGTTTATGAATTCAAGATAACTTCTCAAAACGGCCAGCTGGTCTTCCATAGGTTAGAATACCCAGAGTGCCTTGCAGCCAGCGTGCTGTGTCTGACTCGTAGTAGCGAGCGGCTGGGACATCGGGCTGTGGTCCCCCCCCAGTGTCATCATCACGTCACGGACTCTACTATTCGTGGGCGGGCTTTGTTTCAGGAGGCTCAGCACTGGATGTGCTGATAAGAAGCCGTCTGAGACAGGAGGAGGAGACGCGTATCAGATTCATTTTCCAAACAATTGTTTACACCCGGTGGCACGCGGGTGATGTAGTGGGAAGCTCACAAATCACAAGCTTCTGTGTGGAAAACAACCGAGGAGCTTTGGACAGCTGGTTGGTTTGTTTGAAGACGAGTAGAAGAAACCCCCTCAGACCCGTACACAAGGGCGATGGAGCCACTGGTACAGTGATGCCTATCTGACGAATGGCCTTTTATCGGCAGCTATGAACACACTGTAATCATGAACAATGACATACAATGTAGATCAGAGGCTACGAATAGGAGCTCTGCATCCGGACCGAGACGCCGTCGTATCCACTGGGACCGAAAATAGATTCTGAGGGAAAGCTCCTATTTTAGCAGGCGCAGCTTGTCCGGCCGTTCTCCTTCAGGCCTCCGGGAAGCACAGCAACCAATTACAAGCAGTCGTGGCTATAAGCTGCTGGAAAACAATCATAACAATTTCATAAAGGCGATATTATGCCCGCATACCTCTCTAATGAGCTCCTTTATAGTTTCACATTCGCATAGTGTTACATGCCTCTAATCAGCCTGATTTCCTTCTTGGATTTGCACAGTAAAGTACATTAACAATGTAGAGTTGTTAATAAACTGTTACCGGGGAAGGCCGTTGGGGGGCAAAGGGGGATCATTTCTAACGTCCCGTTAGAATAAGGAAAAAGGTGCACCTTGGAGGAGCAAAAAGGGAATCAGACAATATAACTCTTTGTGGGAAGTTTTATACCTTTTTAAGAAATATTTGTCAAAAGATCTAAAAGATATTTGGACCAGATGTATGAAACACTTGGGTGATAACTGGTTTGGAGATGTTTTACAAACAAATGTTCACAAAATACTTCATCACTACCAAATACGCAGTATAAATCATGCCTGTGACAATAAGCTGTTAATAGTTTACTAGTTTAATTGTTAAGTGTAATTAAGTATAAGTAGTAGTCTTGGTGACTGAGGAGTTTACACAACTGCTGCACTGACATCCTAACGTGCCCGGTTTGAAGTCAGCCCCCCCCCTGTGAGGCTTTCCCTGCAATAAAGATGGGAAACATCTTTGTGTGGCTACCACTTTGCCCACCAGCTGCACCTGAATCTGCCCGTCGTGCTTCTGCAGCATCACTGGACCGACGACACCAACAATCAGGCCCGACACACTCAAGTGCCTGTTGGCAGGAATGTTCCATGGACGACGGATGTGTGCTCAAACAGCAGCTGATGACCTTGTTGGCATGGCGATAGGCCTCCCGGGCACGACAGGGATGAAACGGCATCACATGGCCGGTGATGGAGACGGGGTGCCGGGTGGCTGCGGTTCTCTAGTTGAGTTTGTCAGTGACGGAATGAGGCCAATCCCTCCTCTGCTGCATGCGCACGGATAAATAATACAACACACAGCAGCATCCAGTTGTGTACAAGGGGAAGAGAAAAATAAGTCCGATTCCATGGAGAAAAGGGGAAGATGACAGCGGTGTGTGTGTGTTTGAGAGTTTGTGTGGGACTCAGTGAAACTTACGTGACAAGCTACAGGTTGTGTGTCTGTGTGTGTGCGTGAGCATGAGAAAACTGGTGGTTAAATAACGCTCGTTAATGGAAGAATACTCACTGTTCAGTTTGTACGACGAAAAAGATAATAGATTATGATGAGCAATATTGAACTGACATAATACAGAACAATATGTGCGGATATCTGTGGTTGTTCTTCCATTCAGGGAGAAGAACTGGACAAACTAGATGTTTGGCCGTCTCACATTTGAGAGGCCACTTCTCATTGTTGAATACATGATTAATGAGGGAATTCAATGCTTCCTAAAGTGTCTTTAAATTATGATTTTCATATTCAAAATTAGTTTGAAAAACAAAGACCCACTTATGTTGTGCTCAGGAAAGATTGACGTTAATTTAACCGACTTTTGACTCATCTGACTAATATTTCACAAATGAGTCGACTACTGTGCATGTTGATTGTGTGGGACACTTAACCCCCAAATGCCCCCGTAGTTATGACTACGGTGTGTGAATGTTGGCAGGCGTCACTGTGTGAGGTAGCTCTAGTCATCAGCGTATGAATGGAAGCGAATGGGTGAATTATTACATGAAGTGCAGAAGAGCTTTGAGAGGTGTGAAGACTGAAAATGAGATAAAGTACAGTCCATTTATCGACGACATCCCCTTCTTATACATGGTCCTTGGTAGGAACATGCTGGTGCAACAGGGCAGACTCAACCTCCACTGCCAAAGATTCCCTCTAAATGTCGCACACATTTCCTGTAAGGGTGATTACAGCAGGGGATAACTGGAGGGCGGGTGTTACCAGACCAGCCACGCAGGACATCTCATGAGAGACCATTTCATTAGGTCTAATTGCAAATTGATGATGAGTTCCGAAAGGAAGGAGGGGTGATGGTGCGGGATGAATGAAACCATTATTGACTGTGTCAAGTGTGAAACCGTCTCCGCCGTCAAATCGACCCAGTTTATTGTAGCGCGATTTTAACTACTGCCTTTTCTTTTGAGACTCCGGGAATTTGCATGTCAGCACAACGTAAATGTGTGTTTCGTCGGGCCACTCATGTGAGATTCATCATTATGGAAATGCAGAGCACACACAGTGTTGAAATTCAGCATCTGGGCTCCGACTCAGTGATTCCGCACAAAGGAAGTACCAAACCAAGCGGGGATTTGGGGGTAATCATTATTCCCGACGCCCTCAGAGAACGCAGGCTGCCGCTGATGGTCAGGTGATGCCAAACACATTCCAAGTAGGAGAGAGCAGCTTCAAGGACAGCAGCCTGAAGAGAGGGTGCCAATGCTGCTTCTCCCCCCATGAGAGAACCACACCGTCAATAACTGCACTCACTGCATAGACCTTTTAAAAAAACACACACAAAAGCATCCACACCAAAGGAAGGATATATCATGATATAACCCAGACAATCAAACATTGTGAATTAAGCGTTAGAGGATGTGGTGCCACCAATTTGGAAGAATTCCTGCCAGTCAGACTAGATTTTTAAAAGGAGTCGTTAACGTCTCATCTGCCTGTGGATCCATTGGTATTAATCAAAGAATACGGCAAACTGCAGATAGGAATACCAAGAAAAGGCCCTTTTTTTCCACTGAGGTTGAGGTGGTCCTTGATCACTGGTTCCGTTTTTAATCGTCCAGCAGTGCAGCGCTGCAGCGAGGCCACCGAACCCATCAGGACGCTTTACGCGTGACAAGAATGGCCGCTCTCTGTATTTATTAGTACAGCAATCGACTGGCTGCTTCTGAAACGATGCCGGCCAAAGCAGTTACATCCCCTCCCTGGAATATGATTTTCAAAATGGGTGAGCAGAAGTTATTGTAATTCAGACTGTATGTTTTTATTCATTTGGCCAATTTAAATGATCAGCTTTCTTTTTACAAAGATCAGCATGTCAGCATGCGAACATTCACTACTTGGTACCAAACAGAAAAGTCTCAAGCTAATTGGATTACTAGAGTGACTAACGTGTATCCATCGTTATCTGTTCCAACTTGTGTGCCAATCCATCCATAGTCGATGTTCCTACAGGAGAGGTCAGGGGTCACCAACATTCCCCTCTCCACCACACGGGTGGACTGAACAATGAGAATCACAACATTCAACAGACAGATATTTTATTTGAAATTATTGATACGTCATTCTGCTTTCTGTCAATCATCCGCTAATCAATTAATCCTCCAATGATCTTTTGCTGTGAGGCCGGACAATGGCAATCAAGTCTTCCTCATCATATTGTCCATCCATCTCTCTCGTCCTCCCATCTCTTCATGCGTTGATTAAATCAGGTTTTTATTTATAATGCGTGCGCAGGAGGTGGGCTGTGACCGGCAGCTCGGCAGCGGCGCCCGGGAGGATAACTGCGGCGTCTGCGGCGGGGACGGCTCCACGTGCCGGCTGGTACGAGGACAGGCACTGCTCCACCTCACGCCAGAACTACGTAAGTCAGGCAGCCGTCATCCCCCTCTGGTTTCACCGAGCTGATCCTCCCTCCTCAACACGACCCGCACAGGGGAACACACCCCGAACTCAGGCTCACCTCCCTTCATACCGCAAAGAGTCACAAATGTAGTACCTGCACAAAAACATTATTATATAAACATTCCTCCAAAGTCCACTTATCAAAAAAGAACTAATACAATTCTGATGCACACGCAAATATCTCATATCTTAAATAAATTGAACAAAATTTAAAAAATCTAATCAAATTGTTGAAACTGCATTTACAAACTTGATGTCTGTGGATTTCACTGCGTGTGTGTGTGTTTTTTTAACTCCTGTGGTGTCTCTCACTTCATAACTTCATTTGTTTTTTTTAAATGGGGAATTGTATTACGGTATTACTAATATGTCAACCGGATACACGTCACGTCTTCTCTGACAAAATAGTTCACCGTAACGCCGACACTACGGCAGCCATTCATTCCTTGTGTAAATTGGGTGAGACTGAGTTTTCCCTCCAACTTAATACGACCTTCAATCCAGGTGATGCTTCGTTTGGGTCTTTTCTGACTTGTTCGCCAGTGTTTGATGTTTTCAGCCCACAGCTGGGGTCCACAAGTCAGATTGTTGTCTTTTTTCCTTTCACCCCCCCTATCCTACCTAGTTATGAGCTAGGAAGCCGATTGATCATTTCTAACAAGATGTAACTATATTAGGTCCTGCATGTATTTTGATGGCTGCTGGAAACTTGACACCAACTCAACTCTGAATAGAATTAACACGCCATTTACTTATAAAAGGAAACTTTGAAGTACTTTCAGCTCCTTGCTGCCTGTGTGCTCTATTCTTGTGTTTCGTGGACTTGGAGTGTGTTTGCTTTGCAATCTGGAGAATTACCTCTCTGCTTTTTGCAGACGATGTGGCTATTTTGGCTCCTGCAGAATGTTACCTCCAGCTTGTAGCGGGGTGGTTTTCAGCCAAGTGTGATGCATATCTAGTCTCTGCTGTTAAACAGTGGACAGCACATTACTGGTTGGGAGAGTGGCCAGGCTCAGCATTAAAGACCAGGGGAGGCGCTCCGACATCTCACGGTGAGAGAGTCCAGCTTGTGATGTCCAGGCATCTGATCCGGATCCGTCAGGGCGCCTCCCTTTTTAGAGTTTTTTTCCAGGCACGGCCAGCTGCTGAGAGAGCCAGAGCGCGCTTCCAGGACTCCGTATCTCATCTGGCCTGTGGCTGCCTCGGGGTTTCCCGGGAAGAGCTTGAAAGCTTGGCTGGGAAGACCGACATCTGCAACATCCTCCTACGCCCTGCTGCCCCTGAGACGCAGCCCCTGATTAGAAAGAGATGAAGTCTGCCGAAGAGTACCTAAAATGTAGTTTAATTAAATAATCACAGAAAGATATTACATTTATAATGTGGCTACGAGGATTTAATATCGATTAATAATGCACTTTTCAGATGAAATACCCAACAATATGAGCAAAAACATATTCAAACAAATATTTCTAGATATATATACTGTAAAGATGTACTGTTTATTCAAAAACAAGGCAGTGTGCTTGTGTCAAATTCAATTTATTACATGTCAGGCCCACCAAACTAAAAGCCTCATTAGTTTCCATCATAATAATGAAAAGGATAAACGCAGCTTTAATTTCAGCAGGGGAGCAGCTCAAATGATAAAACATCCAAAATGATCACAAACCAAAAAAGAATACAGCCTATGACCTGAAACTCAAGTCTCATATGGACTCACAGAGATACGTTCAGCCTCTGTGAGCCCATCCACTTTGTAATTAGACCCTCACAGCAACTCACGGGACGGACAGCCAGTCATCAGGGTATGAATGGGTAAATGGGCGTCCGAACACTAAAAAGACATATTCAAGTACCGTAAAATAACCTCCTACATTGGGGTTGGGAAGTGGGTGGAAGAGCTAAATGTCAATGTACATTTGGTGACAGGCACCGAGCGACTATGTGAGTTGTTGGTCAGTCAAGTTAACATCAAACCTTAACTTTCCCAACCCTAAAACACTGTATGCATGTCACTGGTGGAAACTGACATGTCATCCCTGGCATTTCTACTATTTTTATGGAGAAAGTCACACGACTGCTGAGTCTCAAGGATTCAAGTAGACTTGAGGTCTAAAACGTCAAGTGTGAGTGTTTTAAGAAGAGTGACGTTGGTGATGATTCTCTGTCGGTTTATCACTGTGACTAACAACTTTTACAAGTGATCCATTGTTTGTGCGGCATCGATCGGTGCAGCTGTCAGGTGATGTCGCTGGGACGTCTTCTGATGCTTCGTCACAGAACTTTTCCAATTCTAGTAAATTGAGTCTTTATTGAAAAATATCGCAGCCTATCAACTCTGCTTTGAGGACGTCAAGGTTCCTCAAATCTGTAGGGGACCATTTGGGGAAAGATGTTTTACAGTTTACACGACCAGTCAAAATGAAGGTGGATAATTCTCTAATGCATTGCCCCCCGACATCGTCCAAAAGATCCACAAGTCCTCCTCTCGACACTGCAGGTTTTTCTTGTATTCTGCCATCCATATATATATATGTTTATAAATTCTACTGTATGTTAAAATGAAAGCTTTCCCACCGTGTGTCTGCCTGCAGCTATGAGGACCGTGGTGGAGGTGCCATTAGGAAGCCGCCTTTTCAGACTTCATGCCAAAGGGCCGAATACTATCGGTGAGTCACAGGCGTTAATAAAGACATCTGGCGTTTCATAGACGCAGACACATTAAACACAATGTTGTTCAAGCTATAGCGATGGTAAGCTATATTACAAGAGCTATATTTTACAAAACTACATAATTATTTTGTTGGTTTTGCTCTTTTGTAATATTAATTCATATTAATATTATAGAATTTAAAATCCTTTTCTCTTAATTTTTGTGTTTTATGAGAATTTCCCACACCTGTCTAGCTATCATTATAAGTGAACGCATATGCATCTTGATAAGGGCCATATGTGAATATTAAGTCCACACAAAGGTCTTTAGAGTAATAAACGTCCGTCTTGCTCGGTTTCCCTCAGTTATCGAAGCCGTCTCTCTTAAGGGGAGAGTAGACGAGACCAGTCTGGTGTCTGCGGGCTCCTTTGTGATAGGAAACACCTCTTTGGACTTCCAGAGAGGGACGGACAGGCAGACGCTCAGGACACACGGACCACTCAACGCTGATTTCGTTATCAAGGTGAATCAAAGAACAGGCTTAGCTGTTTGGCAAAAACTGCCTTCTGTCATATTTCTGAAGGTATTCAGGTATTCGCAATAACGCTGTTTTTTGTCATTATTATTACATTATTATTAGATTTGGAAAAAGGAGAAAGGAAACTATTGCTGCTCTCTGATGAAAGAAAAATGTTTCTGGTAACTGTTCATAGATTTGTATGCAGGGCAAAAAGAAGATGACAACAACGTCATTTTCATTGTCTTGAATTGGAAAAATGGTGTAAACTGTGAGGACTGGTTGACAACATGATGAAACCTGTTAACACTTTTCAGCATTGAAGTGGTGAACGCAGGTCGCTCACACTGTCAGTGATCTGATCTACAATATTTAGATTTCCATTCATGCAGCGTATACTTCAGGGTGAGGGATCAAAAAGAATAGTGCTGGATGCACGGCATTTAGTTAGTTGTGTAATGTATTCTATTTGAAAATGTCAATTTTTTTCTCTCCTTTACTTAATAACAGATTAGCTCCTGTTTTATGAAATGTCCTTTTGTATTTTCTTTCTTCATTCATTTGTATCAAAAACTTGCTGTTTGTGGAACTGCCTCATTAAGAGGATTCTCTACTTCACCGAGCTCTTCTTTGCGTACCTCTAATTATTTACTTCATCTCTATTGTACGCTACCGAACATAACAATGTTCTTTTTAATTCATCCTCCTTGTATTGTGTGCAGATGAAGTATAAAAGGCTCTAAGGACACAGTAGTCCAGTTTCTCTTCTACCAGCCGATCAGCCACAGTGGAGAGAGACGGACTTCTTCCCTGCTCGGCTACCTGTGGAGGAGGTGAGGTGGCCATCCGTCAATCTACAGCAGCCCTAAAAAAGCTGTCTTTGTGTGATTTTTCCCAACCTTGTTCAAGTTGTCATTGATCCTCAGTGTCATTTGCAGGTATCAGTTTTTACGGTAATATACTGTGTAATGGCGGCTTTCCTCCTGCAGGCTATCAGCTGAACTCTGCAGAGTGCACGGACATCCGATCCAACCAGACGCTGCCCGAGCATCACTGCAACAGCTACCCCGAAAACACCAAACCCACCCCCAAACTCAAGGAGTGCAACATGGACCCCTGTCCAGAGAGGTGCAGCTACACTGTCCTGCTTTTGTTACATTTCAGGAACCTTTCAGCCTTGTATTACTAAATGGTAATGAATAATGTACCTGTTTCTTAAAAATGTGGTTACCACTGTGAACCAAGTGAGCCCTAAAAACACTTTAAAATTTAAAAAAGACACAAGACTGAATCCAAGCCCAGGGTCCCCAACTCCTTTCAATAAAAGTAGAGTTGGTAAATGTTGGCAAGAAAGTCGTCAATGACGAGAGATATTTAGTCCAATGAGCAGAAACGCTAAATGCGCCGTGCAAAGCCTTTGACTTCTCGCCATCTATTGTAACCTGCTACTCATAACCACTATGTGTGGCTGCATTTACCTTCTATCACCTCCATCTAAGGTCGTTATGACCTCATGACGTGATGCTTTGTCTCTTGCAGTGATGGATTTAAAGAGGTGTTGCCGTACGACCATTTCCAACCTCTGCCTCGGTGAGTGGCCTCATCATCTTTCCTTTTAAAAGTGACTCCATTGCTGACTTTCTTCTCTTGGACGTAACACGAGAGTCGGCGCAGTGTGTCTGTTGTACGATTAGTTGTTGTAATCCTGTGATTTAAAAGACAATAAGGAATCGATATGGTAACGTTACAATAAGATGTGAATCTTATTGATCTGGCCATTGGCCCGACCCAATGGCCTCGTTGAAGAAGTCATTGGCCCGATTCCATTCACCACACTCACACGCGCAAGGGCTCCTGTGAACTCCACGGGGGTTTAGTTCTGTCCCACTTTTACGTCCCGCCAAGGACACCTTCAAATGGAGAAGTAAAAATGGGTAAACCAAGTGGGCGCAGATGGGACGTTCACCCCGGCAAATTAGATTTACTCACACACCAACGGTTACAGATTGGACATTAAAAAACAACTAAATCAGAGGAATCAAAGCAGAGACGTTATAAGACAAATGTATATATCAAAAATGCACTTTGTCATTGAAGCTGTACTGACAACAATGAGTAGATAGATGAAATGACCTCTCATCCTGAAACGTGAAAATCAGGGAGTAAAGAAATATGAAAACAATTGTATTATTTGTTTCACGTTGTCATGGCAACCCGAGATGTTGCAGCAAACTGCTGTTCCTTTTGTACTACACCGTTTTCAGCCGTTATTGTCTCCCACACTGACGTCAGGAACCACAAAGGGCTTCAGGATTCGGCCATCTAGTGTAGACATAGAGCAGGTGTTTGGGGACTCCTTTAGTCTCCGGAAGACATTGTGGGTCTGGTGAGTGAAAAAAAGAATGATGATGATCAACTTGGAATGCAGTAAGGAAGCAGTAAAAATGCAGAAGAAATGTCCGACACTGACGAAAGACGAGCAAAGCAAGTTAAGCGCTATGACAAGGACGTCCATTGGGCTTTGAGCACTATGCCTGTTTGTCCCCTGTGTTTGCCCAGCTGGGAGCAGGGACCCTGGACACAGTGCTCGGCGTCCTGCGGCCAAGGAGGCGGATGGCAGGTTCGCAGCATGCTGTGCATGGAGGAGGACATGCAGGGACGGTTCTCCCAAGTGGACGAGTGGAAGTGCACCCACTCCCCTCGACCCGTCACCCAGCAGATCTGCAACACCTTCGCCTGCCCCCAGTGGGTGGCCATGGAGTGGTCTCAGGTCAGTGGGTCCGTCTCCACCAGCCACACAGTCACAGACCGGAGGGCATTATTTGGTGCAGGAAATACCCAACAGTTTTATTTTTCTCAATCAAACTTGAGCGGTTCAATAAATGCTAGAGGAAAGCAGAAATACAATAATTATGTTATTTAATAATTATTCAAATAATTTCTCCCTGCAGTGCACGGTGACGTGTGGTCATGGTCTGCGGTACCGCGTGGTTCTGTGCATCGACCATCGGGGACAGCACGTCGGAGGCTGTGGGGCGTCACTCAAACCTCACGTTAAAGAAGACTGTCTGGTCCCCGTTGCCTGCCACAAGCCCCGAGGTAGGACGCCATACAAACGCATACTCCGGCTGAAAGTACCTTCCGTTCTGTCTCTTCACTTGCTGCACCGCCCCCCCCCCCCCCCCCCCCAGTAGTCTTCCCCAATTCCTCAGTCCCCAGCGACCACTGATCGGAGCAGAAGCACAGATTTCAGAGACTGCCAGGGTTGTTTTGAGGAAAATACCATTAGTGTATCGTGCATACCCATAGCCAACATGCTCAAGGACATCCACGGCTGCCTCCTTCTGAGACGGAGATCAGTCGATTGTGTCCTCGGCTTTCTTTCGAGTAAAGATATTGTATCACGCAAAATAAATATCGCAAATACAGTCTCAACCCTTGATGCTGTTGAACAGTTTGTTCCCATGTGAATGAGCTCTTATCCTACAAAGAGGATGGTGCAATTACAAAAGGGTTTTTTAACAATACCCTGCTTGTTGTTGTCATTTTACATTACATGTTGTTTATTGTATGCAGTTTGACTTTTTTTAACTTTTCGATTAATAAGAACAGGTCGGGTTCTCTCGGGTGTAAATAACTTTGTTTCTGCCTTTCTGTCAGACTCCGTGCCGGTGGAGGCCAAGGTGCCCTGGTTAAAACAACCCCACCAAGTAGAGGAACAGCGTAGTGCCACAGAGGACCCCACGTGAGCACACACACTTATTCACACATCAACAACATGCATTCTTCATCTTTAGTTCTAATCGTAACTGTCTACAGAGACACTGGGCTCTTTAACAAGAGTTAGTCTGTCTTGACATTTTTGCTTTGATCTGATGGAGTGATACGTTGCTACGGTTGACCAGTGCGCAAATGATTATTTTTGAGATCCTTATTTCAGTCTATTTCCAATCAGAAGTTTGGCCGACGTGTATGATAACCAACCTGTTGAGAGGCAACAATTTGATCTCTTTAATGCTGATTGTAGACCAGTCTTACTCTCTCAGACAGTCTGGTCTTTTGCCGTATGCTATGTTTGTTGTGATGTCAATCAAGACAATCGATAATCCCAACTTGTCAAATCGATGTTTGCTCAGGGCCCATCAGCCACCGATACCACGCGTCAAAGAGCTCTATCCGGTCAGCTGAATTACTCTAAATCTGTCCAATAAATGCTTGTCTTTAAGCCGTTATTGAACAGATATTTAGATTTGTTTTTTAAGTTTTGCCATTACATTTCTCACAGGGCAGTAAAAACATTATTTATTATTACTGTTGTAATTCTCCACTCCTGCCTGTATTATTTATTATTATTTAACAACATGTTAACCATCCATTTTTAGCTGCTGTAGTATAAAGCTAAGACATGCCAGGAGGAGGGTTCCACGTTCCTCCACAAGCGGAAAAATGGAAAATTAACGATTGATCACTACCATATACCTTTTTGGAAAAAAAATGTGTTTTTTTAATTACAGTGTTTATGTAATTGAAATGAGAGAGCATTTTTTCATTATTCCCCAAATGTTTCTGTTCATTTGTTTACATTAATGCATTAAATTGCATGATACTTTAATTGCAGATACTTCTTGAAAGTACTCTGCTTTAATGTACTGATTCCTTTCACACCTCACACCTCACGCACACACACACACACAGAGCTTATCCTGGGCTAAGTTAGTCTTTCCGGCAGCGTTTCCTCTCTTCTTGCTGCTGATAAGCACGTGATTATGGCCTGCTGCTCTGGGCCTGGTCCTCTCTGATAGCCTCCCTGGGATCCAGTAGCCCTCACGGCTCACACAAACCGCATAACGTTCATTAATTCAATTGATAATCCAGCAAAAAAAAAGTATATTAAACCCACATCCCCCAATTACTGGCGGCTCTGAAGAGCCTAAAGCGCCCTGCTTAGAAGAGAAAAATATACACGATACTAGTAACAGGAGTCAGGACCAGGGACCAGACGGAACTACGATCTACTGACACCTGCGAGGTGACAAAGCACAAAAGCAATACGGGAAAGTGATGCGGATTAATAAAACGTGGATGATTGGTGAAGGAGAGCGTGAGAGTGAGAGAGGAGCTCGGTGTGTCCTAAGAAGGCCCCCGGCAGTCTAAGCCTATAGCAGCTTAACTAAGGGCTGGTCCGGGCCAACCTGAGCCAGCCCTAACTATAGACACAATGAAAGAGGAAAGTTTTAAGTTTTACTTTAAAAGAGCTGACCGAATCTGCCCCCCGGACTGAAAGTGGAACCTGGTTCCACAAAAGAGGAGCTGAAGGCTCTGGCCCCCATCCTACTTTTTAAAACCATAGGAACAACAAGTAACCAGCATCTATGGAGCGCAGTTGCCTTGTAGGGCAATAAGGTGTTACAAGCTCTTTAAGATACAACAGTGCCTCACCAGCACGTGCCTTGTAGGTGAGGAGAAGTACCGTAAAATCTATTCTTGATTTAACAGGGAGCCAGTTTAGAGAAGTAAATACAGGAGTGATATGATCCCTTTTCTTAGTTCTTGTTAATACACGTGCTGCAGCATTCTGAATCAACTGGAGAGGCTTAAGAGATTTACAAGAACAGCCTGATAACAAAGAATTACAGTAGTCCAGACTGGAAGTGACACATGCGTTAACTAAGTTTTCTGCATCACTTTGAGACAGGAAGTTCCTGATTTTTGATATGTTACGTAGATGAAAAAAGGCAGAAAGTGTATTTTGCACAAAAAGTGACCGTTAAACATCATTCTGTATAAATCAAGTCAAGTCGAAGCCTTTCCAAAATGCTTCCTGAAATGTCAAGATTATGCAAGGCGCCACTTCTAATAAGCAGATGCTAATAAACAGATGAGACTTAGAGCCTCAAACAGAGTCCACCGTAGTCTGTCCTCTTCTATATTGGCCTACATACCTTTTTTCTCTCTATCTTGTACATTTTGTGATTTTAATCTGTATTACTGATTCCTGTCGATCTTGCTGTTTGTTGGATTACTATTGCTCTCCCTGATTGCAGAACCTTCTATATCCCTGTGTTTAGCTTCGTGCCCGGGCCCTGGTCCGCCTGCAGCACCACGTGTGGGCCTGGCCGGCAGACTCGCGAGGTGAAGTGCCAGGTGCTGCTCTCTTTCACCAAGACGGAGGTGGACCTTCCAGAGGAGGAGTGTGGCGAAGAAAGACCACGGCTGTTGAGACCCTGCAACCAAGGGCCATGTACCAAAGTTCCAGGCCTCTCTGTGGGCCTCAACATGCAGGCGAAGGAGCTGTACAGCTGGGACGACAGGGGATTCACTGTTTGCTCGGCCACATGTGCTGCTGGTAAGGTTTGTGGCCAGTTGAAATTAACTTTTGTCCACTTCAGTTATCCTTTCATGTGCCGCTGATTGCCGTGTGTGTTCTGTAGGGAAGCAGACAGCAGTGGTGAGGTGTGTAAGCAGGGAGCAGGGTGAAGATGTGGATGATTCGCTGTGTGATTCATCCAGCAAGCCCCCAGTAATAGTCCGCATCTGTTCCCCCGAGCCGTGCCCCCCCAGGTAAGAACCCACAAGCCAATCACATACAATGTTTTCAAGCGCGCCAGGCTTTTTGCCACTGACACGTGGCCATTTAAATGTATTTTGTAGGGTTGTCACAATGAACGCGTTGATCTATGTGATTATTGTGGCTGTGATTAATGCGATAAAGTATTTTAACAGAGTTAACGCGACTTTGTTTAGTTCCGGTGTGCGATTACTCCAAAAACAAAACCACCGTTAGCTGCAGTCAGTTAGATCCGAGAGATCAGGACAGTAGTTGTAGATGGACAGAGCTTTTTGCATTGGAAGTAAAACAAACAGAGGTTTGACGTGCAGCGGAGAACTGAGCAGAGGAATTTCTCCACGTGTCAAACGAAAGGGGACGAGTGACAAACGGAGCACTTAAAGCTTTTCTATACTAAGCTAGCTGCTAGGCTACTTCTAGCTCACCATGTACCCTGCAGAGGACCACCACCGTGTCCCTAAAAGACAGTGGTTTGGAAAAAGTTCTGGCTAAATGTGGGAGATTGTTGGCTCTTCAAACAAAGCCGTCAAATGATGGAGAGTTGAGAGCAAAGTGCACGAAGACAACGGGAAGAGTCGCTACTCCAACATGTTCCACCCGGTGGGAATCTGCCTCCAAGATGATCAAATGTGTGTGGCTTTGTGTTTAAAATAAAATACAATTAAACAAGTTTTTAAACTCCGCGCTCCCAAAGTGATTAGTCTCGAGCAGTAAACCGACTGGGCTTCTGATCCTCTCCCCAAGAAACGCTGCCTGCTGAAAGCGTGCTAACAAAAGCCAAAGATCCCTTCATTCGCGCGTTGCTTTTGGGCCCTTATACTGTCGGATACAACTGGAGAATCATGCACGGTTGTTAAGGGTTCTCTTGACCCAAATAGCGGATGCAGGAAGTGGTGGAATATTTGCAAGAGATCATTTCCGGTGTTTCGCAGTCCACATGGTCAAGTTCCTCTAACTCAGTGACCAAGTTGTCCGACCGTCGCGGACGCCAGCGCCCTGCCATTACCTCCAATACGCACAAAGGTACGAGAGCCCGTTGTTTGGCGCTTGAAGGTTTAATTGCTCTTAAATCCTCGGAAGTACCCCAGTAGGTTATTGTAAACACTAGGCCGGTGGTTTAGAGGAAAGCTAAACAGAGCTGCCTACATCACTCGAATAAACACTGGGATTAGAGCCGTGAGTGCAGTCAGAGTGTTTGGCACCATTGCAGAGAGCTGCTCCCAGTAGATGTTTATTTGCCATATTCTTCCACCCAAAACAAATAGCTTACTGAATAGACTGAGTCACTCTCAGTCAGGCTGGTTGAGCTCCTGGGAAAAACTGACATCATATGGCTACTGAATACAGGGACAGGATCGACCTATCCATCTATCGATCAGATGGGGTTTTATCTGACTGAATAAGGTATCGAAGGCTAAAGGTTCACTTAAACCTTTTAGCCATTGAAATAAATTCATTGATGAAAGAAAAGGAAATGCCATGGCACAATTAAACATGTTTGAAAGTTTGTTTAAATTATAAATTAAATCAAGGTTTATTGCAGACTGACTATAATGTATTGTATTTTGTTTTGGTGGGTTGCGCTGAGAACAAGCGAAAGCTTAATAAATCATTTATAGGTGACCAAAAAGGAACCAATTAACTGTAATCAACTGAAAACACATTGAACGGATTCAAGTTTCTCGGCTGGAGAACATTGTGCTAACGACTTGTAAAAAGTGATCTGTTGTAGTTCTCCACATGTGGGTGTAGCGTGACATCGTATGGCCAGAAAGTCTTGTAAGGAGGACGTTGAGGGTGGATGGACAGGCCATCAAAACATGTGCCCATTTCCCAAAGTATTTATTATGGCTCATGGCTACTTGTTTCACAGACCCTAAGTTGGATTTTTTTCTTGCCCTAGCACAACAATGCATGAACATTATTTTTGCACAATTTCAATGGCTGTTTGGGGTGCATGATCAGAACGTATGGGCCTAGTGTGTATGTAAAATGTGAGGATGAAAGAAAATGGCTTATGTGATCTTGGCTTCCACAAAGACGGAGGAGAGGGAGGCGAATGTAATGGCATGAATTAGAAAAATGATTGAGCGGGGAATTGAGGCCATATCTTCCCATCACACAAGTCGCTCCTGCTGGAGAGAAAAAGCAGGTTTAAGAAACAGCGGCTTCTCCTTTTCG